CATAGGGACTCATACACGTTACTTGATGTCATCATCATCATCATCATCATCAGCCTGACTACGTCCACTGCAGAACGAAGGCCTCTACCATATTCCGCCAGTTAACTCGGTCCTGTGCTTGCTGCTGCTACTTTATATCCGCAAACTTTTTAATCTCATCTGCCAACCTAACCTTCTGTCTCCCCTTAATCCTCTTGCCTTCTCTGGGAATCCAGTTAGTTACCCTTACTGACCAGCGATTGTCCTGTCTACGCACTACATGCCCGGCCCATGTCCATTTCCTCTTCTTGATTTCAACTATTATATCCGTAACCCCCGTCTGTTCCCTAATCCACTCTGATTTCTTCTTGTCTGTTAAGGTTACACCTACCAGTACAGTACGTTATGTTGGGCTAGTTGGTTCATATTAAGTTGAAATACGTCGTGCAAGTTTACCAAAGGGAAGAACGAGAAGAGACACAAAGAGCGCCAACTCACAACTAAGTTTATTAATTTTATTTTCATGAAGCATTCACAATATATAGGCTCTTGGAGGACATGCGCAGAACATTTCGTTAACCGCACATGCAGGCATGAACATTTTGATGATGTAATAAACGATTAATGCAATCATGATATCTGGGAACCAGCAACAAACAGAATTGCCTGAAGTAAGGGCGTCGAAAAAAAACCAAACACACCCAAGCCTGCGCGAAAAAATGCGAGGAAAAAACAGCAAAAAAGGACTGACAGACACTTCTTAGCAACCATCTAAAGTACATCTAGATCCAACAGTTGGAATTCATTATTAAGCAGCAAAACTGGAGGCACGCTGATGCACGAGTCACCTTTCTTTCTTATGTGAAAGGCTTCAAGTAACTTCCGCGCCAGCACATCCGGGCTCCTTCTAAGTAGTCGTGTGCGATCGAATTGCGGCGTGCAGCCACACGAAGCTCAGTGGAAGGGCAAATGAGACCCTGTACCATTCCTAATTGATAATGATGTGCCGGTGGTTTTCTCTGCTCCGAATAAGCTTTCAAGGCTCTGTGCCCGCATTTCTTCAAGAGGTGCCAAGGCGTTGTGCGATAAGAAGCATGAAAAGCCCTTTCTGCGTTGTGCCGTGGGCACTGTTTATGAAATTCCTCTGAGCTGTGGCAAGGTCTATATAGGCCAGACAGGGCACTGTGCAAATGACTGTTTAAGGGAGCATTCTTCATTATCTGCCCCGCGAATGCTTTGAAGACGCCACTGCTACGTAGTCTTCGTAGTGACCCCTGAGGAAGGAACCAAGTCGGTTTCGAAACGTCAGGTTTCTTTAAAACTTTTGGTTGGAGTCTAAATCATTTCCCAGTCATGTAACATCATTGTAGTTGACATACTTTTTATACCATCGTTAAATCGCAAATCATTGCCACTCTTTCATCTTTTTCCTGGCGGTCTTTGGCCAAACATGGCCCTTGTGCCATAAAAACCTATATATCATCATCATTCATGGTGAATTAGCTGAGATGCACGATACAGGTAGCACTCCTAATAGCTATGACAATTTAGTATGGAGTATTGTCATCTGACCTGGTAAGGTAAGGCAATAAAAAAAATCAGTGTCTCTGGAAAATTGCCTGAAAGGACCCGCCGGGACATTTATAAAAAGAATGGACCCTTTTAACAATATTTTTTGAATTTCCTTTCTAAGACCTTGTAAGTTGGCTCCTGGTTACTCCCATTATTATAATGCACACTCAGTTTGGTCCCATTACCAAGCAGTAAACAGAATGTTTGGTGCTGTATGCTCAACGCATGTTCACATAATAACATATTTGTTTTCCAAATCACCTTGGCAGAAAAGTAAACTCAAGGGGATATAAACGTGTTCATAGCAGCAAAAGTAGAGCAGACAAGTAAGAATAAGAAATAAAGAGAGAGTTTATTTGGACTGCACTTTACAAAAGGCATAATGTATTCACGGGACCCCCCCCCCCAAAAAAAACAGAAAAAAACAGTTCAGAGCCCTAGGTGATGTATGGGATGCAAGAGAGGGAAATTTAGAAAGCACTTTCGCTTCCTTTCACACTGTAATTTCAAGAGCTCTTTGAATAAAAACTGCAGGAAGAAAGCGACATGGTATGCCAAGATTTCGTCTGCTAGGTAAACGCTTGTTCAATTCGATACAGCATCAATACCGGCAGTGCTATATTAGCACGTGGGAAAGCGGCATCAAAATTTGTGCGTTCACCACCACACGCATTGTGGAACACGGCACTTGCAAATGGCTAAGTGTGTCATGGCTCTCACACACCTAAAAGGGGAAGAAATCGCGGAAATAGAAGGCAGGTGGGCAAGCACGCTAACATAGTTTCTGTCGAGAGTTCTCACAAGTTGCTTTCCTTCACCGAGTGGGATTCACACACCTCATCGCCTGCATGCCCTGACTGGTGGAGTAGGGCACAAAGATAAAATTATGTCACTGCTCTTAGTGGCAACAGTGCCAGCCTGAAGAGTGGAGTTCAGTCAGCGATTAACGTTTTGCTGAGTAGTGTTGCGATCGCAGTATCATGTATCCTAAGATACATGATTGAATGTAATGGAAATACAGATACAGATATTCACCTTGCGAGACGTATCGCGGTACAGATACAAGATACCCAAAGAGTATCTAAGATAGTATCTTAGATACATGTATCTCCGATACTGCCCAGCCTTGGCCAGTGCGCCACTGAGGCTTTTGTTCAATAGCGAAGAAGGTGCACATCACCAAAAATTTTGCATATGTAGCAACATTGTGATAAGATAAAAGGTTTTAACTTATAAATGTGTTTTTCTCCTTTGCAGTTTTGTGTGATGTGTGCGACTTTGATTGAGCAAAGTTGATATACTTAGAATTGTCATACCTCTACAAAATTTTTTATATTGTTTGGAGGAAAGCCTGTAAAGTGTAAGAAAACCTGTAGAGTGCAGTTATCTACTTAGACTTTCAGTTCTGTTTGCTCATGTTTTTCAGAATATAACATAACCTTGAAGGTCCTTGGCAACTAGAGCCATGGTAGAGTTTTAACATGAAAGTGTTTAAGCTGGGGTGCAACATGGCTCTTCTGACTTACTTCTGTGACAGAAGTGATGTTCAAAAATCTATGCTAAGAGATTAAAAAAAGTAATAATAAAAACCCGAAGGCAAGCATCTGTTGCACGGAATCGTACCAGCAGCCTGTCGATTCCCAGCGCGCGGCACTAATTACTGCGCCACAGAGCATACGTTTTCTAGAATGCTGATGAAAAGCCAATCATATTCACCATACACCGTTTGGCAGTCCTCAGAGCTTTGAAACTTTAGCGAGTTTTCGTTATCAGTGGCGAGATGGCACGACAGGCTCGCGTTTGGCATGCTCTAAAGATCGTTGCGTCCACAGAGCGTAATCTCTCCTGCGCGCACTTAGCAGACTCGTAATTTGGGAGAGGACGAAGGTGACATCACACACTGTCAGGGCTGCGTTTATGGAAGGCGCGCGCTGCCTACATACGAAGCAGAAAGAATTGTGACAGTTGTTCGTGCTTGTTCTGTGTATATTTGTGTACTCTTTTCGTGCGTCTTTCTGTATGAATAGTGCGCTTTAAGTGTCGAGCTGTGACAGTTGTTAGCTGCGCTTATCCTGTGTATTCAAATTTCGTGCATGCTTTCTGCTTCAGGTGTGCGCTGCAAGTTTCGAGCTGCTTGCAATTCCTAACCTGTCTTTGCAATATGTTGCTGTTGCTGAAATAATGCACAATAAATGCTCAACTACCTCTGTGAAGACACCTTTCGCTTTCATGTTTTACCGATTTATATATCGGGGGATCAGCCACATTTTTGTGTTTGATTATTTTATTATGCTTTTTTTACTTTTTGTTGCTAAAATTTGCATAGTTTTTTGCACTCCACAGTTCCAGAGAATCATAGTTATATATGTGTGCCTTATCTCAAAGTTTTACAGGTCACACTTGCTGTCTAACATTGGCCGTAATTTTGCAGCATCTGAGCTGCAGAAAAGAAACTAGAGAAGCTGCATAAGGATAAATGGATATTTAAAAAGAGAAATATAAACTCTACTAGCATGCTGATTTTCGTCAAATTGCGGCACTTTATATAGAAATTTGTTTTTTGACTCGCACCTCCCCTCAGAGAACTTGTCGAATGATACACGAAGTTTTCAGTTACAGCAGATTTTTTTTTAACAATAGTGTTTCAGGCAGAAAAAAAACAGCTATTTCATAAACCCTGCATTTTCTTCACTCGTAACAAAAAGCAGCCAAACAGTTATACCCATGAAACACAACATCAAACACGACATCATGCACTCATACCATTCAGAATATGCATGGCACTGATAGCAGGATTATTTACAGTAGCTTTTTTTTAATAGCAAAAAAAAGTGAAATATTTATTCAGCTTGTGTGCTTCCATGCAGTGACTAAAACATTGAAGAAAACCTAATTTAATTACGAATTTGTTTGTGGATCAGTGTGATGTGACAGATGGTCACGTGACTGAAGAAATGGGGGGTTGGGAACAAGCACACGAGGAGCATTAAACTGACTTCTTTTGGGATTTTACAAATAAACATGTAAAAGTGTCCATATATTCATTCCAATAAAGATGGCACAACTGCTTCATATTAAAAACACAAATGCTTGTATTCGAAAACCTGATATTGCTAACTTCTCCAAAAGGCATACTTGCCACTCGAAATTAAAGTTTTGTGTGCTCTAGAAGCTGTGTCTACATATAGTTTCAATCAATTGCATCTCTGGATCTTACACCGAGTTACACCGTGCAGGATTGGAGTACTGCCTGTGTGACTGAAGGCTTTGATGCTTGAGAATTCTTCCTTGTATAGCCTAACTTTATGTAGGGATCGTCCCTATTGCAGGGTCTGCTCACCGCACGGGGTTGTCTCTAAAGTTGTTGAAGACATTACGGGACAGCTGGAGCGAGTTGTGACATTTAAAGAAAAACGAGAGGATTAAAATTTGATGATGATGGTGCGCAGGTCCCGCTGCACCTTCGGAGCAACTGGGAAAGCTTCTACCTGGAGCTGCTGATGCTGGCAGGCTTGGCTGTTTACTTTGGCAACTTCTTGGCTGGCCGTAGCAAAAACCACCGACTGGCCACTGCCTGGTTCCAGAGCCACCGGCAGCTACTGCTCGACAACTTTGCCCTTGTGGGTTAGTTCAGCTTCCAAACAGTACGAAGTTGACGTATAAGCAGAGAAATAATCCAACTGAAGCATAGAATAAGCCGCCAGAGACGCAAAGTAACAAAAGACCGCGCAAAAGTAACTGCATTGTCTGCACAACAACGTTCCATGATTACAGAAGCCAAAAATGGATATTACAAAGAAACACTGACAGAGTTCATGACAAAGTCTCCTGATAAATTTTGGCGTCACATATAGAAAAAAGATAACGAGTCACTTAGCATTGTAGTGGATAACACAGTGGTTACTGATCCTGCAGTAATCGCTTCTTCTTACAACGAATTCTTTCAGTCGGTGTTTTCTTCTCCGTCACAATCCGGTGTCGAATCCGCTCCCTCTCCATTGCTTCGCTCGGAAAAAATGCCAGATGTTGAAGTCTCTTATGAGGGAATTGTGGTCTATCTACTGAATATTGACGTAAAAAAGTCAGTAGGCCCTGATGAAATACCGAATGCGCTTCTGCACAGGTATGTGGAATGGGTTGCTCATTAGTTAAAGAGTATATATGACACATCACTCGCAGATTGCTGAATCCCTGATGATTGGCTTACGGCAAAGGTTATACTTGTGCACAAATGTGCTGATAAGCAATTCATTGAAAACTATCGTGCAATATCGCTGACCAGCGTTTGCTGCAAGCTCCTAGAACACATTGTAGCCAAGTCAATTTACACGTATATTGAAAATGACAACCAATTTTTTCCCAACCAACATGGATTCCGGCAGCGCCTTTCCACAGCAACACAGCTTCTTGAAACAAAAATGACAACAAATTTTTTCCCAACCAACATGGATTCCGGCAGCGCCTTTCCACAGCAACACAGCTTCTTGAAACAATTAATGACTTTGCCATGACGTTAAACAAAAAGAAACAGATAGATGCCATCTGTCTTGACCTGTTGAAAGCATTCGACAGAGTGCTACATGCAGAATTGCTTCTGAAACTAGCAGTTACTGGAATAAACGAACAAATAGTAAAATGAATAGCTGAGTACCTTCGGGGCAGAATGCAGTACGTAGAAGTAGAACACATTAAATCAAAACCGTTGAACGTGACGCCAGGTGTTCCCCAGGGGTCTGTGTTAGGCCCAGTGCTATTCCTAGTCTATATTAATGATATCGCCTCTGAAATTGACGAAAGGATCACGGTCCGGCTTTTCGCTGATGATTATCTATTGTACAAAGAAATTGATAGCGCGGTTGATCAGGAGTTACTCAGTGACACTCTTAGGACAGTAGAAGAATGGTGCGACAAATGGAAAATGAAAATAAATGAGAATAAAACTGTTTTATTGCACGTAACAAATTAAGTAAATAACATCTTCTACTTTAATTACATTGTGAATTCCTTGGTGCTTTCTGCGGTTGACGTGCTAAAATACTTAGGCGTAATTATATCCACGAATTTAAGATGTTCTTACCATGTAGGCAAAATATGCCAAACTGCGGAAAAGAAACTCTGGTTCTTGCGACGGCAACTGCAAGTAGCCTCACAGTCAGTAAAACAAACGGCTTATTTGACCTACGTTCGGCCCACGCTAGAGTATGCCAGTATAATCTGGGACCCTCATCAGTCAGGGTTAATTCGGAGACTGGAAAGAGTTCAACGACAAGTAGCAAGGTTTATTCTAGCGCGATACTCTCGTACAGATTCTGTCACCGAAATGCTCTGTTTGCTAAACTTGCCCACGCTTGCTGAACGCAGGCGCATAGCAAGTCTAAAGTTTTTTTACCTTCTCTCTAAAAACAAATTCAACATTAATAGCAGTCAGTACTTGATAGCACGACAAGGTAAAGCATTGCGAAGAATCAAAGATGGTACTTTCGAAATACCTCAGATGCACATGAACAGTTACGCGTTTTCTTTCTTCCCAAGAACCATTAAAGAATGGAATCAATTGCCACTACAAATGCGGGAAAGTCATAGTGTAGAACAGTTTGAAAATAACCTAGTAGGTCATTAAAGACGCACGCCTTTACGCATGCTGTCTATTTAGTGGTTGTCCGAGTTAAGTTGTTGCATTGTGTTGTTAGCTTTGTATTGTTTGATCGGTGTATGTGCAGATTATTTCGCATGTACTGCTGTGTGTTTTTGTACGGTAATGGTCGGTTATATTTTCTAATATCGCTTGTTAACTGTGCATTTATGATGTCGTATAATTTGATCATGTATACAGGAACTATTTCGCCAATGTACGCTTATGTTTTCTTGTGTGTGGTATCTTATGTACGGTTTCTTATGTAGTATGGTTTCTTTCTTTTTTATGTACGCTGGTGTTTTTTTTCTCTTATGTAATATGAATTCTTATTTTTTCTCTTCTCAAGTCGCACGATGTTGATCATGCAAATGTCCCGCTTTGACCCACCCTGTAACGGCCGACAGGCCAACAGTATGAGTAAATGAAAAAAAAAAAAGGCCTGTTTGCTCTACAAGTGATGGTAATGAAGGAGGAAGGGGAAAATGTTGACCACTGAACAAATTCGAAGGCATTTTCTTACTTCAATTGGAGCCTAAATGGTAACTGAAGCAGGCTAACTAGCTTGCATAGTATTTTAGTGCAAACAGCTTGCATACTTCAATAATGCATGCTGCTGGGTGAGTCTGTCGTACATCACTGAACAGGGTGCTGCGTAAAGGAAACACGAACAGGCTTGCATACACTTGAGAATCCTGTAATTCTGATTATAAGTGCACTCTGTGGTTTGGATAGATAATGATTCCAAATTCGATCTATTATAATAAAGAATTGTAACAGCCAAAACTGGTATTTGAGACCAGGTAGGAGCGTAGGCCTAGCCAGCGAAAGCAGCGACAACGTCTGGGCTGAGCGCTTCATGCTTAGCACTGACGATGTGTTTGCCCCGAGCTTTGCATGACCCACTACTTCTTCATTACATATTTCCCCCTCGCTGAAGATAGAGCCGAGTAGGTGTTCTAAGGGGTCGTGAGGAAAAGTGGTTCCTGATACGGTTTAAGACGATCCACGTGTACGCTTTCGCGGCCTTGGCAACACAGGTCCACAGTGGCTTTGAGGGGTTCGATGAGGTAGTTGACAGCGTAAGTTTGCTCTATGACGCGATAAGGTCCATGGTACCTGCTGAAGAATTTTGTAGACGTACCAGGAGCAGCAGTGGGAGGCACCCACAACCAAACAAGAGAATTGTGTAAAAACTGGTACTGGGACCGTTCATTGTCGTGACGAAATTTCTGTAGCCCTTGTTCTTGTGTTGTAAGGGTGCGAGCTAATGGCTGACATTCTTCCGCATACCGAGCGGCTTCGGAAACTGGTTGGTGTTCCTTCGAATGAGTCGGGTTGGTAGGGGAGAATGGTGTTGATTGGGGATAATGGCTCTGAACCATAAAGTAAAAAGAAGGGAGAAAAGCCTGTCGTCGCTAGAGGTGTTATGTTGCGATCGTACGTTACGTAAGGAAGGATAAGATCCCAGTTGATGTGGTCGAAGGCAAGAAGTTCTTGAATAACATCTGTGAGAAAGACGCGGCCTCTGTTGCTCAAAAGTTCACATGGAGGGCCCTGTCGCAGAACAAAACGTTGCAGCAGGAAAGACGCAACGTCACGTGCCGTCGTGGCTGGTAGAGCGGCCGTTTCTGCATATCTCGTGAGATAGTCGATCGGTACAATAATCCAGCGATTCCCAGCTGATGTATATGGTAGAGGACCATAAAGGTCTATTCCACCCGGTCAAATGGTTGCACTGGGCACGGTTGCGGCTGCATTGGTGCAGTAGGACGGCTAGGATCGTGCCTTCGGCGTTGGCACTCAGTGCAAGATCGAATGTACTTTTGAACGGATATGTACATGCCGCGCTAATAAAACCAAAAACATAGCCTGGCATAGGTTTTAAACAAACCAGCGTGTGCACACTGCAGATAGGCATGGAAAGCAGCACATATGCTGGCATGAAGATGCCTCGGTATGACGAGTAGCCATTTGTGGCCGGTAAAATGGTAGTTGTGGCGATAAAGTATTCCATCACGGATGGCGAGGCTTGACAGAGTTAGAGGCTTGTCGGTGTAGCGCTCGAGATGGCAGGCGGGCGAGTGTTTCAGATAGGTACCGTAATTACTCAAATCTAACGCGCCCCTTTTTTCCGGTTAAGCGAGTTCATAAATCGCATGCGCGTTAGAATCGAGTAGGAACAAAAAAATTACGGTCAATCTATTCCTATCGGCAAATCCAAAATGGCCGCCCCCTACGTGCGTCGGCATGGCGCGTCGGCCATTTCTGCCTATGTGTTTCCCATGTGCGGCACTTCGTACGTGTGCTGAAGAGTTCGTCATTCAGTAGTGCTTAGCATCGACGGCGTGGAAGGGCTGACTCCAAAAACTCGAGTGCACCACGATGCCGCTTTTAAAAGAAAAGTCATCGCGTGTGCCAAAACGGACAGAAATCGGGCCGCATCGCGGTCATTCGGAGTTCCCGAAATGTGCGTGCGGGACTGGCGGAAACAAAAGCAGAAGATTGTCGACAGCAAAGCTTCACGCAAAGGCTTCAGTGGACCACAGCAGGGTTGGCTTCCGCAAATTAAAGAGCTGCTCGGCAAGTATAGAACTGCTCCAAGTGCGGGCTATGCAATTAGTCTTAGAAAAAGGTCTAATGCGGAGCCAGTTGAAAGCGAGCAGGTGCTGGCTAACTAACTTTATGAAGAGGAAAGGCTTTTCCCTCCGAAGGGGAACATGCATATGAGAAAAGTTTTGCGGAGGAGTACGATGAAAAGCTTCACAGTTTTCGGAGGTCCTAAACTTGCGGCGCAACAACGGCTACCTTCTTGAGCAAATCGGGAATGCCGATCAGATGCCTCTTTACTTCGACATGCCTGGCACCACAACCGTCGAGAAGAGAAGGAGGCGAAGCAAGTTCGCGTGCTGACATCGGTCCACGGTTAAACTACAGTGACGGCAATGCTCTGTTACACGTCAGAGGGGCACAAGCTGCGCCTGTACCTCAT